CGGCCGCCTCGCCGCAGTCGTCGTCGCGCCGCTGGTAGAACAGCACGTACGCAGCCTTCGTCTAGGGCGGAGAAAGCCGGCGCGGGTTCAGACCGGCCGTCCCCTCGCGGTGCCTCCCCCGCCCGACACGGCCGGGCGGAGCGCGGGGCAGCGCACTCACCACTATCTGGTCCTCAGAGGCCAGGGACACGTTGCTGTCATCGAAGTAGTACCACTTCCCGCTGAATTTGTTCTTCGCATACGCAGTGTCTGCCGAGCAAGAGGGACACATTCCAGCAGTCGTCAGGAGTTAATTCAGCAGGTTTATCAGACTTGTACTACACACATACACACTACAAATAATTTGCATCCTAACAACCGAAAGACATTTTTTTTTTCCCCTTCCCGGTATCGGGGATCGAACTCACGACCTTGCGCTTGCCAGGCAGGCATTGTGCCATTGAGCTAAATCCTCAGCCCCCAAAAGACTTTTTTTTATTTGCTGAGTCTAGCTAAGTAGTTCAGGCTGACCTTGAACTCACAGTGATCCTCCTGCCTCAGCCTCCCAAGAGGGAGGATTACAGGTATATTCTACTATACCCCACTCTTCTATTTTTTGAAACAAGGTCTCACTATGCCCAGGCTGGGTTCAAGCTTGTGATCCTCTTGCCTCAGCTGCCTGACTACTGGCATTACAGAAGCACCCTATGATAACAGCTTAAGACCAAGGTTTCAACTAATTTTGGAAAATTAATCCAAAAGAGTGTTATCTAGTATCAGTCAATCTATGGAAGCTAGAAGCACTAATCCAGAGCCAGGCAACTTATAAAAGGAGCTGATATTTAACCAAGACGACAGCTCTCAAATCAACGTTCAGCAGAAAGCACAGGGCTTCTGGAGCCCGAAGGGTGATCTTTTTTTTTTTTTTTAATCTTTTTGAGACAGGGTCTTGCTGTGCAGTTCAGGCTGGCCTTGAGCTCACTTTGTAGCCCAGACTGGTCTCAAACTCACAACGATCCTCCTGCCTCAGCCTCCCAAGTAAGTGCTAGGATTACAGGTGTGCGCCACCACGTCAGGCTCTGAAGGGTGATCTCAATGGACACATGGTTTGTAGAGCTGGGATTTGAACAGGTTCCTCTCCAACTGTGAGTCAGGAGTCTGTGGTTAGGTGACAACTTCCCGTGCAGGTACAAGCCTTCTCACAGCCTGTGCTTTCCCTCTGCATCTTACTCTCCAAGCAGCAGGCGTTTGTAACAACCCCAACAGGCAGGCCTGGAGACCCGGCACCCACTTCGAAACACTGCAGAGTCTAAGGGAGTATGGTTTCCAGTCACCACACTGGAGGAACCGGGGCAGCAGTTTAACCCGTGCACCTCAGTCTCCCCAGAGTCACACTGCCTTCACTGAGTGGGAAGAGACCACCAGAGAAGGGCTAAGCCCGCTGCACTACACCTGACAAACAGCAGAAACGGCAGCTTTCAGCCTTGGGGATTCCACCTAGAGCCCTGACATGAGCTCTCACATGAGCCTCACCTCCTGGGTGAGAAAATTAAGGCTTACAGGTCAAAATGCAGCTAAAAAAAAGACCTCTGACCAGTATGTGTGAATGCAGGGAGACACAAAGTTAATTTTGGAAGAAAGCAGCAGGTTACAGAACCGTAACCACTGTGGGACACGGCCTGGTCAGAGTTGCTAACAGCTACTTCAGTGGGCCTGACACTCACGCAGCAGCTTTGTCATCCCAGCCTTCCTCCAGTGCTGTGTGGCCCAGGGGCCGCCTGTAACCGCACTATGTGCAGGGAGGGGTCAGGTGGACTCTGGAGGGCTGCCTGTTCCCCTTCTGATGGCACAGAATCCCAAAGTAAGGACTGGAGCCGGGCAGCTATCTGGAGCCAGGAGCTGATTCAGTAAGAACGGAGGGTCAAGCCGGGCTCACTGTCACATGCCTGTCACCCCAGCCACTTGGGAGGCGGAGGCAGGAGGACTGCATATTCAAGGCCAGCCTGGGCTATATAGCAAGTCCAAGGCCATTCTGGACTACATACAGAGACCCTGTCTCAAACGAAACAAAGATGGGCAGGGCAGCAGTACTAAAAAGCCTGAATCCCGGGCCTGTGGGACTGTGAATCAGGTACATAATGCAGTGTCTGGCACCACGGAAAAAGGACTGGTGAGGGTATTTCAACACAGCGAAGGAAGCAGATGTCAGTACTCACAGTGGCCAACTCCCATGGCTCCATAGTGATTGGACACGGCAATGAGGTCGTACACGTAAGGCCTGGCTGACGGGTCGCAGACAAACTCAGACATGTTCAGAGCTCTGAGCACAACGCAAGAACACCTCTTAGATATGTTAAAGTAAGAAGTAAAAGTAACCCAGCAACTCCTTCAACCAACAGGCTCTGACACAGGAAGGCACTCAAAAACCTATGTAGGAATAAAATAAACAAGCAGACATGGCAGTGCACACCTATAATCTCAGTGACTGGCAGGCGACGGGACAAGGATCTCAAGTTGCCATCCTGGGCAACTCAGCAAGATCCTTCCTCAGAATATGTGAAGGGGTGGGATGCTGCTCGGTGGTAGCATGCTTGCCTGGCCTCCGCAAGGCCCTGCTTCAGTCCGTGTTATGATAGAAACAGACCACAGCAGAGGGATGCTGGGGTCTGTGGTCTGACCAATGACACCTTCAGGCCCAACACTAAAGCCACCTCCTATGTCACTGCAATGGCAAACCAGACGGGCAGCTGAGGGCCTGGGGTTAGAACTAGGTAACAGTGGCTGTTTCTAACAGCATTATAGATGGTGCTGCCAGGATTTAAATTAAACACCAACCTAGACCCCAGAAACCTTCCTTTCTTTCTTTGGATTCAGTTCTGATTATTTTATCTAGTTGGTCTACTTGTGACAGTGGTGTACTGAGGTCCCCCATTACAACTGTATTAGTGCTTACTTGATTTTTCATGTCTATTAATGTCTGTTTTATATAGTTGAGTGTGCTGGTATTCAATGCATATGTATTTCTGACTGGTACCTTCTCCACTTAGACTGTTCCTTTTACAATGATAGACTGACCTTCTTTGCCTCTCTTAATCAGTCTTGGCTTGAAATCCACTCTGTCTGCAAGCGGAATAGCCACCCCTGCTTTTTTCTGTGTTCTTTAGGTATTGTCATGGAAGTATCTTATACCCTCATCCATTTTTAAAGATAGCTTCTTGGGGAACCTCAATCTTGGTTGGAGGTTGTTTTCTTTTAGGGCTTGAAACGCTTCACTCCAGGCTCTCCTTGATGGGGTCTGTGTTGAGAGGTCTGCTGTGACTCTGATGGGCTTCCATTCACCATTATAGGTGACTTGTTTCTTTAACAGCTTTTTATACTGTTCTTGGGCTGGATTTCTGAAATGCTGACTGTGATATTCCTTGGTGGCGATGTGTTTTGAACATGGAAATTAATTGGAGTTCTGTATGCTTCACTTAACCTCTATGTCACGTTCTTTTTCCTTGCATAGGAAGTTTTCTGCCATTTTTCTATGTTATTTGTGCTATTTCCTGCTTTTTCATTGATTCTGATCAATCTTGTTATTTCTCTTTGCATCGTCTAGCAGCTGTTGGACTGATTTTTCATGGTCCCTTGCTATTTTTAAGAAATCTTTCTTTTCATGATGACCAATTGCAACCCTGTGTTCTAGATCTGATAGTCTGTCCTCACATTGGCTTGTTCTGCTGCATATGCTGTCAACAGAATTTTTAATCTTGGGCCGGGTATATAGCTCAGCAGCACGGCACCTTGCTTGGCAAGTGTAAGGTCCTGAGTTAGATTCCCAGTATCAAAAAAAAGTTTTTAATCTCTTGGGTATGTTTGAATCTGTTCCACAGATTCCATTTCTTTCCTATGGTGTATATTCATGGTTTTCATTTTTCTAAGCTTCTCTATTTTTTTAATCTGTATCTGCTCTACAGTCACTAAGCATGTCTTTTATTATGGTCACCACCTCTGTCGTTATGTGAGAAATTTCTTCTGATTTCATTTCCTCCAGAACCTCACTCACTGGCTTGGTTACTCTGTTTACCACTTCACAGTCCTTCCTGGGTGGCTTTCGAACTGCTCTACCTCATTACCCCCTGGGTTTGCCTTGGATGAGCTAAAAGCCTGGGGTTGCACCTTGCTTAAATGTCTTTTCATTTTCTTTCTTCTTTTTGTTCAATTCCTGGGTTGATATTCATAAATTGGTTATGGCAAGTAGCTTTATTGCTAGTACTTAGAACCCTCAGGAGATGACTACTTTTCAGGTGTAGCTGGATTTTGGGTTTTGAGTCTGTTGTAAGATCCTGCCTCTTCAATTTACTGGGGATGAGAAGTTGCTATTTGGCCCAGCCCCTGGTTCTTTGGCACTAGCCTATAGTATTTCTTATGACCCTTAGGCAATCTCAATCTTAGTACACCAGGAAGAATTGATTAGAATGATCATGTCACCTTGGCTAAAGTAGTACAATCAGTATTAAAAATAACATCAAGCACAGCCCACAAAATGACTGTGGTTAACTATTAATTTGTCACCCCTAACTGAATGAACTAGATTTGCAGTTATATATCAATATCTAAAACAAACCAGAAAACTGGGCGTGGTGGTGCACACCTATAATCCCAGCACTTGGGAGGCTGAGGCAGGAGGACCGTTGCAAGTTTGAGGCCAGCTTGGGCTACAAAGTAAACTGAAAACCAGCCTGAACTGCACAGTGAGACCCTGTCTCAAAACAACACAAATAAATAAATAAAACCAGAAATTTTAAATTTTTTTTAAGATAAAAAGAAAAAAAAAAAAGGACAGGAGATATAGCTTAGCAGCACAGCACCTGCCTGACAAGGATAAGGTCCTGAGTTCGATTCCTGGTACCAAAAAAAAATCAAAACAAAATCCTAAGGGGGTAACAATGGCTAATATATTGCATACTGTTATCTTTAAATTAGTTACTCAGAGTACAAGATATAGACATTTATTTTTTATTTTTAGTTTCTGGTTCTTTTCCGGTACTGGGAATCAAACTCACGACCTTGCGCTTGCCAGGCAGGCACTGTGCCGCTGAGTTAAATCCCCAGCCCCCAATATATAGACATTTACCTCTCCAAATATTAGCACAAATCTTTCTTTTCAATAAACTAAGAGCAATTAGTAGAATAACTATCTTAACTATCTTGTGTGTATATGAGTATATATTTTTTCATTTCCCTTCCTTCCTTTCTCCATTCCCCCACCCATTTCTCTTTCCTTTTGAGGTTTCTTCCCATTTCACAGTATCTATTGTACATTTTGGATCTTATTTACTCTTTTAGCTTCTCACACCAGGGAGAAAATACAATGTTTGCACATGTGAGTCTGGTTTATTTCATTTATGAGTATGGTCTCTAGTTGCATCCATTTAGCTATGAAAGTCTCCAGTTTATCCTTATGGCTGAGTAGTACTCCACTGTACAACAAGACCACATCTTTTTTATCCATTCCTCAGCTGATGGACGTTTGGGTTGTTTCCAAGATTTAGGGATGACAAATTGTGCTGCTATGAACATGGGTGCACATATATCGCTGTGGTATGATGTTTTTAATTCTTCTGGGAAGATACCCAGCAGCAAACCAGAAAATTGTATTCACTAAACAGGCTCTAGCATGACGATTTTACCCCCAGGAGAAAAAATTTAAGAGGGTGAGGAAAAAGAAAAATAGAACAGGAAGAGATTAGAAGCAAGGGTGGAGAAAGAGGAAAGATTACAAAAACTTTAGGAAACTGGTGCAGACAACAGGAGGAAAAGAGAGAAGGAAGCGATAAAAATAAGAGCAGCACAGAACAACAAAAAACTAGAAATAATGCTCACACTCATAAAAACAAGATCAAGAAAAAAAACCAGAAGAAATACAAGAAAAAAAAAGAAACAATTAAGAGAAAAAAGTCCACTTCAAGGCATGTCCCTGCTGTCACTAGTAGACAAAGTCAGCAGATGGAGTCCAGATCCACATTGATCAGTCCTAGCACCTTTAGTTCCTCCGCAGCTCAGGCTGCTTGAGGCTGAAACCCCATCTGCTCAGCCTGGGCCTGAGCTTGGCTCCGGGACTGCCTGCAGCCTTAAAGTTCCGCCTCACCCTGACACTGGAGCCACCAGATGGAGCCCGCCTGCAGCCGCGCTGCGCTCCAAGCTCAGCTGGCCCCTCCAAGCCGGCCACTTGCCAACTGCCCTCTCCCAGAGGACTTTTTACCTAAGTAACTCCAAGCCCCCGCAGGCCGCTGTGCCCACTGCTCCGTGGTCCCACTGCTGTGTTTCTCCACGGAGGCCTCTGGGGTTGCTAGCAGTCACCGCGCACCTGCAGGTGGGGACCACCCCTCCCACACAGTAAGGAGGGCTCAGGCAAAGTGCTGCTTGCCACCTCCTTCTTCTGTAGTCAGTTCTCTCTCTTCAGTTCCCACTTCAGATCCTTGCTGGGCCCGAGGGACCCACTTTTCTCCTTCTTTTCCTCACGCTGCTATATTCCAGCCTGAGGACATCAAAGCTCGGAGAGGCGCTACTGTGTAGCACAACACCATCTTCCCAGAAGTCCCTCCAATGAAGCTTTTTTTTGAGACAAGGACTTACTCTATAATTCAGGCTGGCCTTGAGATCACTGTGTACCTGAAGTTGGGTTCAAACTCGTTACAATCCTCCTGCCTCAGCCTTCCAAGTGCTGAGATTACAGGCATGCATCACCACGCCTGGCTAGAAAGCTTTCATTCCAATAATACTTCTTTATTTTTTATTTATTTCATTTTCCTTGGGACAGGAACTTGCTATACTGTCCAAAGCTGGTCTTAAGCTCTCTGGCTCAAATGATCCTCCTGCCTCAGTCCCCCAGGTACCTAGGATTATAGGTAGCTGGGATTGCATTGCACCTGGTTTATAGTTTATTTGTCAAATTTCAAACATACAGAAAAGGGAAAATTTTTTACAAAAATACCCATTACATATCATTAACATAGTTGCTATATTTCATGTATCTACTCACTTCCTGAAAGCATCTTAAAATCCACTTTTCTGTGGGGAACTCCTATTTGGCTGGTTTACATTCCTGTCTTAGCTATAGTCTGTATCCTGGTCCTGAGGGGATCTGAGCAGACAGCCAGTGCCAGTCCCTCAGTCCCTCAGGGACACCACCGTGGAGGTCGGCACCCCACCCACTGCCCATTAAAGTCTCAGTTCTCTGCAGCAGAGTCTGTGCCTGTGCTGGCCCTCAGGGGCCGGGCTCCGTGGGACCAGTGGCAGGCAGGAAAAGCAGGACAGTGAGGGGTACCACCAGTGGCAGAGGTGGCTGGCAGCACCCCAAGCTAAGAAAGGGCTTTTACAGGAGTCCACCCAGCCCCCGAAGAAGGCAGAGGGCAGGGTCACCACAGCGAAGCCTACCTCCCGGAGTCTGGCACACAGACAGCACACGTCTCAGCCCACCAGCACCGCAGGGACCCACCTGACTGGGAATTCCACAACTGTGTCGAGCTTATCCCTCCAGTATCTGTTGTAGGAGAAGCGTTTGAGGTGGACCACCAGAATCTTCGGCAGCGACCACAGGTCGAACTTCTTTGTGGCCTGCTGGTGCTTCTTACAGTTGGGACAGTACCTGAAGAGAAAAGAGAGGCAGCCAGTGCTGCACACTCAAGAGGCACAACTGCAACATCAACATCACCTGCCCTCAGCAGCAATCAACACCACGATTCCCAGGCAGCAATCCGCCTTCAATCAGTGATGGCTGTCTTGGTCTGGAATACACATCCCACACAGGAGGACTGTGGTGGCAGGGCTGGCATTTCAGAAGTGACATATGTGTCCAAGGACAAGGGGCTCGATCCCGGGCATGGGGCCTGTGAGGCCAAGGAGCTCCATACCAGGGGTCATGCTCGCCAAGGGTCTCCATGGTGGTAAAAAGCTCAATACAGTCTCGCAGGGCTACCGAGGTCTTCTTCTTCTTCTGAGGCTGCACCATGCTCATGTGCTTCTCATAGGCCTGTAGAGACAAAGTGCTACATTCTTTTGGAGAAATTTCATCTTCCCAGCTCAAAAGCATGGCCTACTGAGGATCACCACTGCACAAACTACTTTCTGAAGCCTCTCAGCATAAAAGGACAAAGTCTCACGGGTGTTTCACCTGGTCCCATCTATGTTTTGTAGCGCTGAGGACTGAATTCAGGGTTTCTGGATTGGGTTCTATGCTCAGCCTTTTTATTTTTTGAGTCAACGTCTTACTATGTAGTTCAGGCTGCCCTCAAGTTTGTAATTGTTCTGCCCCAGCCTCCTGAGTACGTCACCAGCCTTAAACAGTACTGCTGTCCAGCTAGCGGGTGATGCAGGCACACATCTAGAGCAGAAGCGGGCACCCACCAATGACCATCAACCCCACTTGATGTACCTCAGATTCCTGCTCATCATAGTAAAGGCTGCGGGTTTCGCTGTCCCAGTCGATGGCCAGTGTCGATCGAGCTGCAGAGGGGACCACAGTGTCACTCAATACAGAATAGTGAGCAGCAGGAGAGGCTCTTCAAGTGCCCAAAATAAGCACCATGTTCAGCACCAACTACCCCTGCCAATCCACCACCAGCTACTGCCAAAGAGCAGTGCTTTGGCCAGTGGGTCCCAGCCCCAGCCCCTAAAAGCCTTTTAGAAGACCTCCAGAGCTCCTGATGAGCTCAAGGGACTAAATGCACAGAATTCTAGCAAGGGACAGTCAAGATGGAGGAACCAGATTCATCCTCTAATTTAAATCACAAAAAAGAGTGCACGTGTGCATGTGTAGGCCTTTTCCAGGACCACAGAACTTGACAAAAACCGAAAGCTACACTTATTTAACCTGTGGATAGGGATTAGACCCAGTGCCTGTACACTACACCCCCAGTCTTTTTTTATTCTGAGACAGGGTCTTGCTAAGTCACTAAGTTGCCCAGGTTGGGCTTGAACTTTGAGACCCTTGCGTCTCAGCCTCCCAGAATGCTGCTAAATTATTCCAGGAGTATGACACCATGCCCAGCTTTCTGTATTTTTATGGAACAAAAAGTTATACAGTCATCCTTGTGAGTGAAATAAATCTAGGGCAGCCACAGAAATACCCTTGACCCAGAGGTCCTGCATAGCAGTGAGAGTGGAGGGAGAACTGCTTCCCGCCAGCTCACCACGAAGCACAGAAATGAGCCTCAAGGGGGCCGTGTGCCTCAACAGTCTGCAGGGGGCTTCTGGGCACAGGTCACAGGGTCTGCTCCTCTGCTCTTGCAGCCACAGGAGACTGTGAATCCTGAAGCAGTAGATGTGGAAGGCACGGATTTGCTAACAGATCCAGAGTCCCCACAGCCTAGCTGGGAGGGTCAGGGATGTGCTTACAGTTGAGTTTGAGGAGTTTCCCATCAGTTGCAAATGAGTTTATGTCAGCTGTTCCATAGGAGTTCACAAGGCTGAAGGTGAAAAGCCTTCTGGGACAGGGCTGGCCCTTGACCTTCTTTTGGGTGGCCTCACTGGGGTCCCCTCCCAGGCTGTCCTCCCCACTGCCTTCTGGCTCTGAAAGCTGCTCTCTGCCTTCATCTTGATGCTCCATTTCTTCTTCGTCATCTCCTGCAACACAGGTGAAAAGCAACCTACAATGGTGCCTCGGTTCATGAACACTTTGCTTGTGAACCAAAAGTGCTCGGCAAAATTTTGTTTTTGTTGGCAAACTCTGTATCAGGTAACAAACACACCCATGGCCGTCTTTCCCACATAAACACAAAAACATGGCAATGTGTTCCAAAATGGTGGAACAAATCAAGTTCATAAACTTATTACCGTGTAATATTACAAATTTTAATGCCTGGTGTTTCCTTCCAGATGTTACACTATGTGGGACTCCCTTTGTGTTTGTCTGATACTTGAGGTTGCAGGTGACCTTCCCGGTAGGGAAACAAGCAGAGCGCTGCCGTTCCAGGTGAGAAAGCAGATGCCCAGAGCTTCAGTGAGTCTCCCAAGACAGTCTGGTGAGAAGTATCTCAAAATAAATCCAGAGAAAGGGCTGGAGACGTAGGTCACTAATGAAGTGTCTGCCTACCACGATCAAGACCCTGGGTTCCATCTCCAGCACCACACACATACCAAAAAAGATTTAGCTCCTCCAGAAAACAACGCTGAATGCTTAAATGGAGGCTTGTGGTCATTTCCATTTCTTCCCTCGCTTCCTTCCTTCCTTTCTGTTTTGTTTCCTTAAGACAGGGTCATGTAGCCTATGCTGGTCTTGTACTTACAATCCTGTCTCAGCCTTTCCTGCTGGAATTACAAGTAGCTGGTTATGTTTTTTGTTAATATGGTCATTATTATTATTATTATTATTATTATTATTATTATTTTGGGTGTTGAGACAGGGTCTTGCTTTGTAGTGCAGACTGGCCTCAAACTTGCAGTGATCCTCCTGCCTTAGCCTCCTGAGTGCTGAGATTATGGGCATGTGCCACCACCCTGGCACTGTGGTCATTATTTTTAACATCAATTCTCACTTTCTGGGACTATGCATGTCTTGAAGGTAACTGAAGGATTTGCAATGGAGACATAACAACACTAACTCCGAGGCCCCTCGTGGGTTTTTGTGTGTGAGACACTGGGGACTGAACCCATTAAGTTATATCCCTGGCCCATTATCAGTTTTTTACTTTCAGATATGGTTTCACTAAGTCATTGTCCAGGCTGTGCCCAAACGTGTGATCCTTCTGCTTTAGCCTCCTAGAGTGCTGGATTAGAGGCCTGCGCTACCGTGCCCAGCTGCACTTTTGGTTTTACAGGAATAAAGCCAGGGAGCCGCCCACATTCCCACAAGAAGAGTCACTCCTGCACTGCACATCAGACATGGCCCCTTGGTCAAGGACAGACTTGTCAGTACCCAGCCACAGAGGAGAACGAAGCACATGGGCTTCCTGTACCAAGCCCACTGAACTGCTTTTCCAACCGCAACTTCCCTTCCTCTTACAGCAGCAGCTGCTTCAGGTCAGGCACCACCTAAAGCCTCCTGGTGAGACACAAGGAAAGCCCAGGAGGGCCTGTCTCCACCTTCCTACTAAATGATCGGGAATCTGTTCTCCCTAGGACTGAAGGCTCGCCAAATAGGCTGGGCAGCACTTAAGGGCCAAGATAACAACAGCTTTACCAAGAGGCATCAGGTCACAGAGTCAGGCACATACCAGCCAGCTACTCACTTGGCAATCCAGACAGATGAGCATTCAAATCCTGACTCTGCTTCCTGACTTAGGAAAGTGTCTCACGGCTCCGCGTGCCTGGAGTGAGACCCGCCTACGCGAGCAGGTTGGGGGCCAGCAGCACAGAGGGGCTGCCCGCAGGCAGAGCCCCCAGCCCCCCTCTCCCAGGTGTCTCAGGCGCTGTGGTCACTCCCAGCCCCACAGCACGGCCAGCACTCACCTTCACAGCTGCCCCTGGAGCCATTGCAGGCCCCAGGCTCCAAGGGCGAGCTGCAAAACTCGTCAGGCAAAGGCTGCTTTATATAGCGGCTTACAAAATATGAAAGAAAGGATTGTTAGTTTTAACATTTTACTATTCTTCTCCACTATGTAGCTAAGAAGTAGTTCATAACTTTTATATTCAGTTATTCACAAAGCATTTTATGAACATTAAAGCACTTTAAAATCATGTAAAGATTCAATACTTTCAAGAAACTGAGCGGGACCTGAGATCAGATGTTTAACCTACGAGGCCAATGAAAACCCCAGGAAAGTGCTTCAAATCTTCTATGAATGCCAGAATGCACCACCATTTCTAACCTGTTCTCAGCTCTTGGGCGTAGGGGCACATGCCTATGATCCCAGCTACTCAGGAATCCAAAGAAAGAGGAACAAAAGTTTGAGGCCAATCTGGGCAATTCTGTGAGACCCCATCTCAAAATATAATTTTTAAATGAGGTGTAACGGTGCATGCCTATAACCTAGGCACTCTGGGAAGGTGAGGAAGGACGGCTGCAAGTCTGAGCCCAGCCTGGGCAATACAGTGAGATCCTATCTCAAAATAAAAAAAACATTTAAAAGGGGCTGAACCGGGGATATAGCTCAGTGGCACAAGCAGCTGCCTGGCCAGTGCAAGGTCCTGAGTTCGATTCCTGGTACGAAAAAAATGAAAATAAAAAGGTCTGAAGGCACAGCACAATAAGAAGCCCCTGGATTAACTCCCCAGTACCAGGTGGACATGCGCACACTCATAAATAAAGGTAACTATTAAACAGAACTGGGATGTAGCTCACTTGCCTAGTATGGGTTCAATCCCCAGCACTGAAAAGAAAACCAACAGAAGAAACCCCTAATATTCCAGCAACAGAACCACAGTGAGGTGTATCAGAGACGGCTGTCATCTACCCTCCCCCCAGTACTGGGGACTGAACCAGGGCTTTGCACTGAACAACATCCCCAACCCTTATTATGTTTTAAGACAGGGTCTCACTAAGCTGCTCAGGCTCACCTCAAACTTGCCATATTCCTGCCTCAGCCTCCCAAGTAGGTATGTGCCACTGTACCTGACTCCAGAGATAGAATTCAAAATATGGTCTTCTGAATACAGGGGCCTGAGAAGAGGCCTGGTGTCCAGGCTAACGACACCTAAGTGACACTTGCCCTGTCCACCCAGGGATCAGCACAGCTGCATTTTCTTGGTTTGGTTTTTTTTTTTTTTTTTTTTTTTTTTTGAGACAGGGTCTCGCTATGCAGTTCAGGCTGGCCTTGAGCTCACTTTGTAACCCAGGCTGGTCTCCAACTCGCAATGATCCTCCTGCATCTGCCTCCCGAGTATTGGGATTACAGGCGAATACTTTTTTTTTCGAGACAACGTCTTACTATACAGTTCAAGTTGGCCTTGAAGTCACTGTGTAGCCTAGACTGGGCTCAAACTCAGGCAATCTTCCTGCCTCAGCCTCCAGAGTGCTGGGCTTATAGAAGTGCACCACTATACAAGGCCCAAGAATACTCTTATAACAAAAAGGATGTGCTCAGGATCTCACTCCCAGAGAGACAAAGGTTAAGTGAATACCAGTCTACATTTTTTTTTTCTCCAGTTCTGGGCTTGAAACTACATTCAGCCCTTTTTAGAAATTATATGTATCTTTAAATAAATATATAATTTTTTTGGTTTTAAATTTGGAGACAGGGTCTCACTACTTCACTAAATCACTATGTTGCCCAGGATAAAGCTGTGATCCTCCTGCTTCAACTTCCTAGAATGGTGCTAGGATTTATAGGCATGTGCCACCACTCCCAGTTTAGACAATATCTTCTTTCCTCTTTTTGAAGGGGAGAGTACTAGGAATCAAACTCAGGGCCTCGTGCTTGTCAGGCAGGCGCTGTGCCGCTGAGCTGCATCCTCAGCCCTTTCTTTTTTTTTGAGACAGGGTCTGGCTATGTAGTCCAGGCTGGTTTTAAACTCATAGCAGTCCTCCTGCCTCAGCCTCCCAAGTGCTGGGATTACAGCTGTGTACCACCACACTCGGCACCAACTTCTTGGCATCACTATACATAAATGGATTTTTAAAAATAAAAAACTGGCAATACCATGTATTGTTTTGTTAACTTGCTGTTTCACTTAATGTAGTAGGTAGTTTTTTAGCTCAATAAATTATGTCAAGGTCATGATCTCATAACTTCTCGCCAATTACCTTTCTTTATATCCCTTCCTGTCCTTCCCCTATTTCCTTTCTCTTATCTAGTGACAGTCTGCTTTATACTTACTTTCTTTTCTTTGAGACAGGGTCTTGCTGTGCAGTTCAGGCTGGCCTTGAGCTCACTGTGCAGCCCAGGCTGGTCTCAAACTCACAACAATCCTCCTGCCTCAGCCTCCTGCATGCTGGGATTACAGGCGTGCCCATGCCTGGCCTCTCCTTTATAGTTTCATGTGATCTCTTTCAGACACTGCATATCAGGAAGAGCACGTGAAATGCGCCTTTCCAGACAATCCTTTGCAGGGGTTGTCACTACTACTCTCCCGCTTCTCTTTCTGGGGTTATTTTGGTACTAGGGGTTGAACCCAGGGGCTTTACACTGAGTTACATCCTCAGCCCTTTTACTATTTTTGATTTTGAGATAGCATCTCACTGGGTAACCTGGGCTGGGTCAAACTTGCGGTCCTCCTGCCTCAGACTCCTAGAGTGTGTGCTCCATGGAACCCAGACCACCAGGCTTATCTTGATCTTACAGAACAACCCAACTGTGTTCCTGCCACCAACCTGATGCGATCACAAACAGCTTGGTACAAAGACTCCAGGGTCAGCTTGTGCTTGGGGACAGACACCAACAGTGGCTGCCCGTACAGCACCGTCCCAGAGGAAGTGCCTGCCAGCCTGGACTTTCTTTCCCTGAAGTAGACTGGAAGTGTGACACACTCTGAGCCATCTGCGCAGGTGCTGAAGACTTCATACCTGCAATCACAGAAAGGGGCTCCTTTAGCAGCTGGTCCCCAGAAATAAAGAGAGCTGAGCTGCACTGAGAGAGAGGCCAGGACTACAAGTACTAGGACACAGCATCCTCGGCAGAAGGGTGGACAAGCCCTTTCCGCAGCAGTTCCAGAGGAATGTGGTAGAGGACCATCATCAGTGCCACGTGAGCCTACACAACCTGAGCCGGGAGTAGCTACGATGCTCCTTTGTCACTGCGTCAAGCTCTGTGGGCCTTCAACTGAGACACAACAGAGATGTCAGCGGTCACCTAGACTATCCCAAGTCCTGGCCAGTTCATCTTGTCACCCCAGAGCTCAACGCTCTGGGTTTGTTTTTTAGACAAGGTCTCAAAGGTTTTTCAGGCTAGTCTTGAAGTCACCAAGTACCCTAGACTGGCCTCGAACTCCTGGTGGTCTTCCTGCCTCAGCCTCCCAAGTGCTAGGATTATAGGTAGGCACTGGCACACCTAGCTTCAGAACTCAACCTTTTTTTTTAATTATATGTTTATCCCCTTTCCCTCCCCTCCCCTCCCCCTTCAACCTTTCTTCCCCTCCCCATTTATAAAAGCTCAATTTCCATTTTTTCCCCCTTTAAATCTCCCCCCTCCCCATTATGAGCCAAAATAAACCTTTCCTCCCTTAACTTGTGGATGCTGGGTATTCTGTTTCAGCAATGAGAAAACAGTTTCCATTCTAGACATACAAATAAGAGGTACATAGCTCCTAAAAGTAGCCGGGCATGGTGGCGTACACCTGTAATCCCAGCACTTGGGAGGCTGAGGCAGAAGGATCCTTGCGAGTTCGAGACCAGCCTGGGCTACAAAGTGAGCTGAAGACCAGCCTGAAGTGGATAGTGAGACCCTGTCTCAAAAACACAAACAAACAAACAGAAAACCAACAACAGCATAGAAGAGGCATGTCCATCCCTTGGCCTTTTTATTGTTGTTGTTTTGTCCATTTGTGTTGCGAAAGGCTCTCGATACATAGTCCAGGCTGGCCTTGAACTCATGGTGATCCTACTGCCTCAGCCTCCTGCTAAGGATTATAGGAGTCTACCACCATGCCCAGCACTTTTTTTTCTTTTAGCACTTTTTAAAAATGTTGTAACGAAGATTCAAAAACAAAGCAAGTTTTGTTACTTACACACCTTAATTTTATTATCTATTCTATGTGCAGTGCGAGACAGCTCCTCTCCACTCAGGGTGGCCCAGGTGAGCCAGGCTGCCCAAAGCACAGGTCCCAGGACAGTGTTCAGCGTTCTCTGACCCAGCATGGGAAACTGCTCAGTACTCACACGAAAATGTCATCACGAGGCATGATGTGGCTTAAACCTTCATCCACTTGGAAAATCTTGTGGAACCGGTGATTATACACGTCTGTGACCACCATCTGGGAATCAACAGCAGCAAGATTACAGGACGGCTCAGAGCGGCTTCCAGCTGTTGACAGCTCAGAAACAAATGGGAAAATGCCCTAATGGACACTGCAGCCTTCAGTCCCCTCTGCGGCCAGCTCCAGGCAAGGGCCAAGGGTGAGGGGACCGGCAGGACGGCCACCAGCACTGATCACGCTGGTGATCTCTGCCTCTGAGCAGCAGCAGGGGTGACAGGTGAGTGGTGGCCAGCGCCCAGTCATCACCGGAGGCCTCGGAGCACTGTGCAGTGCCCGAAGCCTGTCCGCCACCCCAGCACACAGCGCTGAGAGCAGAGTCCTACTCCTCGCCCTCTGACTTGGGTAGTGTGACCCCAGCAGGAGAAAGATAGCTTTTCCTGAAGGTGGAAGGGGCAGGCTCAGCTGCAGGCTAACCAGTGAGGGAGGGCCAGGTGTGGGGCACCCAGACCCTCACCAACAGCCACACCTGTGCGGGCCAATACTACCCTCAAAAAAGTGGCTGAACGCAAACCCCAAAAGACCGCAAAGAGACCCCAACAGTCTAAACGCCGCTGACCCCTCTGCCTTACATTTTCCGCAGGAATGCCAGACAGCCGGGAGAGAGCCTCGCACAGGTCAGAGATGGCCCCCATCAGTGGCACTGTCACGCGATACTGCAAGGGAGAGACGGTCAAGATGACAGGGGTGCTCAAAGAGGAAGGAAATGACCACGAGGGGCAGGCACCACCGGGGCGGCTGAGGTAGTTCACGGAGAAACCGAAGCCCAGAGGAGCTAGTGACAGCACAGGCAGGTAAGTCTTTCCATCAGCACTCAGGCAGCAGTGTGGGACCTGGGTCATCTCTTTCCCTTCTTTACTTTGGACCCCTGAGGATCAAACCCAGTGCCTCACCCATGCTCTGCACACTGCCACTGAGCCATGACCTCAACCCACATCACTTTATTCTTCATTTTTGGGAATGGTTTACTACTTCCTCTAAAGAAGTGTCAAAATGATACAAACTGCCAGCAGGGCATGGTGGTACGTTTATTAATCCCACTACACTTGGGAGGCTGAAACAGGAGGATCAAAAGTTCAAGCCCAGCCTGGACGACTTAGTGATTTACCAGGAGCCTGTTTCAAAGTAAAAAATTTAAAAGGCCTTGGGACAGAGGTCCTGAGTTCAGTCCTCAGTACTAAGAAGTAAAATTGCCATCTGATCCTACATATCACCTTTCTTTATTGATAAAGATACTAACATCAGAAGACTAAGTGATAAATCACACTGTAAGCTGTCAGCAAAACAGGATGATACAATGGCTAGTCATGCCTCTAACCTGACTCTTGTTGTCACGGTCCTGCTGATTTGAGGATGAACCTAAGCACTAGCTCTGGCTTCTCCAACATTTGGATTCATGGACTACGTAGCAGGCCATGCAGGTTAATACAGTTGCACAAATGAAGCATGGGACAGAGAAGCCCCCAAGGTGTTTCTGATAGGGCCTACCTGACACGCCAAGGTCTGATGGCTCCCAAAGCTACACACAGACAAGCCTGGTGGGGCGAAGGCAACTGATGGAGTGTCCTCACCCCACCACTGCGGGGACACTCACACTGAGGGGAGTTGTGAGGGTGCGGATCCTGTTACCTGGGTAGGTCTGCAGTGAGGGTCAGCAGGAACCAGGAAGACCTCCATAACTCGATCCTTCTTCAGGGGGAGTGGGAGAGTTAGGTAGCAAAATGGGTCGAAGGTGACAGAAACCTTAGCACACTCTGGGCAAACCAACGTTGATTTGAAGAGGCCGTGGAAAGTGTCCACAATCACGGAATCATTTCGCAACCTGTGATTCTCCCAGGCTTCCTTCGCTACAACCTGCACGAAAGGAGGAGGATACATGGGACAGTCTCAACATCTCAGTCTTCCCCATACAGAACAAGTCCCAGTACCTGCTAAGGACAGGGAGGCAGTCGGTGCAAGCCAGGCAGGACTGGAGCTGCTGCGGGCATCCAGCACCTACAGCACACATCAGCTCCAGCCTTGTCTTACTTTACAAGAGGCTAGCTAAGGATGTTATGGGAAACAAAGGGTGGTGAGAGCACTGTGGTTACCTGACCTCCAGGACTTAAAGTCCCTTTAAGCCAGGCATGGCAGCCCACGCCTATAATCCCAGCACTCGGGAGACTGAGGCAGGAGGACTGCCACAAGCTCAAGGCCAGCCTGGGCTCCACAGTGATTTCCAGGTAAGCCTGGACTACATAGCAAGACTTGTTTCAAAACAACCAAAATAAAGTCCTTCTGGTGAGGTATTTTTCTTTGTTTTCTTCTTTCTGTGGTTCTGGAATTGAACCCAGGCAGCCCTCAGGCATGCTAGGCAAGTGCTCTACCACTGAACTATACTCCCAGCCCTTTTTGCTTTGAGACAAGATCTTGCCAAGTTGCTCAGGCTGTCCTCAAACTTGTAAGCCTCCTGTCTCAGCCTCCTAAATAGCTAGAATTAAAGGTATGCACCACCACACTGGCTCTTTTGTGACAGCCCACCAAATCTATACAACAGCTCGGCTCACTATGGCTTTTCCTTTAATGTGTAAGTGCAACTTTAAAGCATTTATATTGATTATTCCAATGTCATGGAGTAGCGAACTAATAAAATCCCCTTTCATTGATCAGAAAATCAAGGCAAAGAAAGTGTAAATGCCTTAAATCAGTATTAGTAACAGGCTGGGCATAGTGGTGCACACCTGTAATCCCAGTACTCAGAAGGCTGAGGCAGGAGGATCACCATGAGTTCGAGGCCAACCTGAGCTACACAGTGAGTTAAAGGCCAGTCCAAACTGCATAGTGAAACCCTGTCTCAAAAAGACAAAAAAAAAAAAAAAAAAAAAAAAGCAAAGTATGCTTAGTAATTACAGAAGGATTTTAATGAGAAGTGACATCTATGCTGCAGATCTCAGTTTCCAGGGTCACTGGCCTCTCACTCACCAATGAAAAACAAAATGACTAACTCAAGAAGTCCAGTGGGCCAGGGATATAGCTCAATGGTATAGCGCTTGCCTAGCAAGCACAAGGTCCTGAGTTCAATTCCCGACACCAAAAAAAAAAAAAAAAAAAAAAAACAGAACAATTAGAGCTGGGGATATAGCTCAGTGGCACAGGCACCTGCCTTGCAAGCATGGGGTCATGAGTTAAGATTCCTGGTACCACCACACCAAAAAAAAAAAAAAAAGAAATCCAGTGGGTAGTTGGGTATGGTAGTACAGCCTTGTAATTCCAGCACTCAGTAGGGTCACCGTGCATTCAAGGCCATTTACATAGCAAGACCGTGTCTCAAGAAACCAAAAAACAAGTAACACCAAACCAAAGAGAAACACCCAGGCAGTAATGTTTGGTTACTTCGGCTAGGGATATCCCTCAGTGACAGAGTGCTTGCCTAGCATACACAGGACCCTGGGTTCAATTCTTAGCACTTAAAAACAAACCCAGAAAACGAGTAACTAGCACCTTTCTATGTGGGTTTTTTGGGGTTTTTTTGAGACACGGTCTTACTAGGCAGTTCAGGCTGGCCTTGAACTTGCTATGGCCTTGAACCTGGCCACAAGCTTGAGACAATCCTCCCGTGCCGCCACGTCCAGCTGTAACTAGTCCCTTTCTGACCTGGAATGAATTTCTCTACCAGAACCTGCACCCTGTCCCAGACAGGGGCAACCGCACCCTGGCACAAATTCTCACAGCCCAGAAGACCTCTTCTACAACAGAGGCGTCACCTGGACCGTCATTATGCAAATAGCTTCCACATCATACCGCATCTGGCCGCCCGTTGGCATCCTTCGGCAGCAGGTAGGGCTTCTTCTTGACCCGATTCAGATCTTCATGCAATCCATCTAGAATAAAGGCTAACAGCTCCTGAGAATCTTGTTGCTGGTAGCCAGAAAACTGAGGGGCAAAACGTCCCACTTGGGTCTACAACAAAAGCAACTACATTAGAAGGTATAATATACAGGAACCAGTGAAGTCAAAGGGGCAGTGTCATCAAAAATAGCTCTACAGTTAGCTGAGACAGGCAGGAGACTAAGGGAGGAGCCCAGTTACACCCTGGAGAACTGAACAGAGCCAGCGGCGCTCCCAGAGGGGAGGCTGTGAGAGCCAGCACAGGCAAGGCCCAGGGCCCGGACAGGACCCCAGGGGCGCAGGGGCAGCACTCTGATAGCCACAGGCAGGAACTGAAACAAACCGCCTCCAAAATCCTTCTTCTGTTCAGACGACTTTGGAAACGCTATCTCTACCAGCAAGAGACTTCTGCACACAGAAGCCCTCCTGTCCGCAGGCGGCAGGCGGCTCAGGACTGCTCTCCACCAGCAGTCCCTGCAGCGGGACCCAACCGGCTGTGCCCCTGGGAGCACAGGGCAGTGCAGCCTCAGGCTTCCCTCCGGACCCGCTCCACCGGTCAGCACTCTGTGTGGGAACAGCCCTCCCGGGACTGTGACGCACCCTAAAGCGGGACAAGCACTGCACCTGTGCTATCCAATTCCATGTGGCTAGTTAAATTTAAATTAATTACAATTAAACACAGGGGCTAGGGAATAGTTCAGTGATACTGCACATGCCTACCTTGTGCAAGTCTGTGAGTTCAAACTCCCATATCAAAAGAAAACATAAGTAAAACTTAAAATTCAGTTTTTTGGCCAGTAGCACCTCAGCTGGTAACTCAGACAGTCCAACACAGAACATCACCAAGAAAGCTTTCAAGTACCCTAACATCCCAAATTCTACATCTGTTTATGTTAACTTGCACCCAGGTATAGTCACACAACTCCAGTTTCTTTATGATTCAACATGTGACTATGACTTAGTAATTTACTTGTATTTCCCAAGAATTAATGCCATCAAGGCGATGAGCAAGAATTCATTTTTGGTTTTTGTTTTTTTTTGGGTTTTTCTGTCTTTTTGAGACAGGGTCTCGCTATGCAGTTCAGGCTGGCCTTGAGCTCACTTTTGGTTTTTTTTTGTGGTACCGGGGATCGAACTCACAACCTTGTGCTTGCCAGGCAGGCGCTTATGCCACTGAGCTATATCCCCAACTCCTTGAGCTCACTTTTGAGTTGTGGTCTCGAACTCACAACGATCCTCCTGAGTGCTGGGATTACAGGCATGTGCCACCACGCCCAGCCAAGAATTCACTTTCAAGTTCAAACCCCCCATTGAGATATTTTTTCTTTCCTTTCCTGTTTTTTTGTTTTGTTTTGTTTTTTTGAAACAGGGTCTCACTATGTAGTCCAGGCTGGTCTTGAACTCACAGCAATCCTCCTGCCTCAGCCTCTCAAGTGCTGGGATTCCAGGAGTGTGGCACCATGCTTAGCTTGAGATTTTTATTTTCTCACTGAGCTAAGGTGCTATATTCTTTTTCCTTCCCTGAATCAAAACCTTGCACATCTTTTTCACGGTGTGCTTTCTGAAGACTCCTTGAGCCTCCTTTAGCTCAGGCTAAACAGAATTTCTTCAGATTTCAGCATATGGGAACAGGGTACTGTTCTCCGGGAAAGAAGAACATTTAAGGCAATGGAAAGCCCAAGCTGCTCCAAGGTTTGGTGCAATTCACCCATCCCCTCCCCAAGTCTTCTTAGCTGAGGGATAAGAGAGAGAACTATTCCTTACACCATCTTCTGAGAAATGTCCACACAATTTCTGACTTAAAAGCCTAACTCAAAGTAATAGGGCCTAGGCTCAGAGAACCTGAGATTGGCCTTCATACCATCCTGGAGGTTGAAATCAATTTTCAGGATCATTTTAATATTGTTACAAAGCTGGGCATGCCTGTAATCCCAGTACTTGGGAGGCTGAGGCAGGATTGCCACAAGTTTGAGTCCAGCCTGGACTAGATAGTGAGTTCAAGGTCAACCTGAACTACATAGCAAGACTCTATCTCAAAAATAAAAAAAATATATATATACATATATATATATATATATATATATATATATGTACACACACTGGTTTTTCTATATTATTTATTTATTTATACATACAGTTACCACTGTAGGCAGAATTCTGGGCAACCATTTTACAAAAGGCTTCTGGGACATCCCCACCCAGAGCGGGGCATGGGAGACACTTAAAACAAGTGTGTGTTGAATGACCGAGGAGAAAGGGTATGAAGATGCAGTACTTTCCGCTCAGACCTGCATTCCAACGCTGTACCATTCTCCTCAAAAGGGGAAAAAGGAAATACTTATCTCAACCTACTTTGAACATGCGAGGTGCCACGTGAGTGTCCCTTCCAGACCACATCTGCTTAATGAGCTCAGCATAGGCCTCTGCGATCTCCCCTTTCATGCCCAGAGGGTTGTCTCTGTTGATTTCAGCCTCATATTCATCTTTGAGGAAGTAGTCAGTCAGTGGTGCAGTGTTGCTCAGGCACTGAAACAAACCCATCACCCAGCAAATGGGGAGAAATCAGGCTCTAAAAGGCTGCTAAGGCTGCGCCCCGACGAAAGGCTCTCGCTCTCGCAGAAAAGCACAGCCTGAGGAGACCGCGCGAAAGGGCGAAGCAGGGGCCGACTCAGGGACGTGGTCCTGGAGGAGCTAAGCACTGGCTGATGCACTCTTTCCAGCCAGCTACCTGAAGGCAGAAGCTGAACATTCTTATTCAACGGGAGATTGTTTTTAAGGTAATCTGTTTTAACAGAAAGAACTGGGAAATAAGTTCCAGTGTTTTATAGGAAGACAAAATATAATAAAGCCAAAAACTGAAAAAAGACAAAAGACAAAATAACTTACCACAACCAAAAAATTATGAGGGAAAAATCAGGATAATCAGCACAGAAACTATAAATAATTTCATACACGTGAGGCAGGGGATATAGCTCAGTGGCGCAGCACCGGCATGCACGCAGGAGGCCCTGAGTTCAACTCCAGGTACCCCCAAAAATCACACATGTGTATACCAATTTTAACTATTTATATTAAAAAATGAAGGCGGGTGCTGCATTTATCAAATAAGTTTTCTACATTTACTAAATTAATCATATGCGTTTCTCCTTTATTCTTTTACTAGTTAAACACCAATGAGTAATTATTCATTAAACCAACCTAATTATCTTGTAACAAACCCTCATGTGGCATTTTAGTATCACTTTTCATTAGGTATCATTGAACTGTGTATGTTAAAATTTTATTTAGATCATGTGTGACTATAGTCATGAGATTTAATAGTCTAAACTTTTCTAGCCAGGCATGGTAGTGCATGCCTATAATCCCAGCACTCGGGAGGCTGAGGCAGGAGGATCATAGTGAGTTCAAGACCAGCCTGGGCTACAAAAGTGACCTCAAGGCCAGCCTGAACTGCATAGCGAGACCCTGTCTCAAAAAGACAAAAAATTACAAATTAAAAATTAAAAAAAAAAAAAAAAGCCAAGTGTGGTGGTACAAACCAATGTCACCAGGAAGACTACAAATTAGAACCAGGCTATGCAACTTAGTGACTGACTTAAGACTCTCTCTCAAAATAAGAAAGCTGGGTGTAGGGGTGCTTGCCTGTAATTGCAGCATTGGGGAGGTTGAGGCAAAAAGATTGACATGAGTTCAAGGCCAGCCTGGGCTACATAGAGTTCAGGGCCAGCCTGCACTACATAGTAAGACCCTGTCTCAAAAAACAAAACAAAGGAAAACAAAGGTGAAGACCTTGATTCAATTCTTTTCTAATTTTTTTTTTAAATTGGTGCCGGGAATCAAACTCGGGACCTCATGCTTGCCAGGCAGGCGCTTGTGCCGCTGAGCTATATCCCCGGCCTTGATTCAATTCTTAGTGCTGTGGGGGAGAAAAAAGAATTATGTTTGAACCAAATGAGGTAGAAGACACCTGTAGGAGGATTTCAAGTGCAAGCCCGGCTGGGCAACTTGTGAGATCCTATCTCAAAAACATAAAAAGGTCTGGGGATGTAGCTCAGCGCAAAGGCCCTGAGTTCAATCCTCAGTACAGGAAGGGAAAAAACAGGAAAGAAAATTCTAGGACAGTTTGGGCTACACAGAGTTCAAAACCTGCAATGGATCAGACAGCCAGATCCCATATAAAAAAAAAAAAGACTTGTGCACACCTGCACACCGCAGCTCAGGTGAGCTTCCACGACGGCCGCCCACTCCGTGCTGCTGCTACACACAGTGCCATGAAAACGATGTGTCCTGCTCCACAGAGGGAACACACCAGCTCCACATCTGGACCTCTGGACATGCGCCATCTGCTTTCTTCCCTGGCTGATTTTAATCTGTACCCTTTTGCTATAACAGACTGTTATCAGGAGCCCATGACTTTAGGTGAGTCCTGCTAGCAAAGCATTGAAACTGAAGGTGGCCCTAGGAACCCCTAAACTTGCAGCTGGCTTCAGAACTTGGGGCAGTCTTGGGAGACCGTGCATTCCTGACTGCAGAACCTCTCTGTGGCCCATGACTGTCACAAGGCTATCGTACACTGGGTGCGAAATAAATATTTATGGATGAACAAGTGAAGTTTCAAAGATTTTAGGACTTCTCCAGTACAGGGTATGAGGTGAGGGAACAGACTCTGGTGAAAAAGGGGTCAGCCTTCAGGGCACCACAGCTGAGCATGGCCCAGGTGTTCTGAGTCCTCACCCCTCCAGAGACCAACCAGAAAGGTATTCCAGTACTTGCTAGGGAGCTCATATCCCAACAGTCCACAAAATTCAAAATATTTTTACTATTGCTAACCTCATCTACTAAGGAAGCAAAGGCAAGAGGACTGCAAGTTCAAGGCCACATGGGCAATTTAGCAAGACCCTGTCTGAAAATGATTTAAAAGAAAAAAAAAAAGGCAAAGTGGGTAGCTGAGTAGTAGAGCACTTGCCTAGCATGCAGGCCTGAGGCCCTGAGTTCAATGTCCACTCCTGGGACAGTCTTGTTTTTTTTTTTTTACTGTAACACAAACCCAGAACTAAGAATACCTGTTGTGGCCACAGGTTCTGATGAAGGCATCACTTTTTTTTTAAGAGCAGAATATATTTACTGTGGAAAAAAAGCTTCTGTCAGAGAAGCAGAAGGGGTCCCAGGGACCCTGACTTCTGTAGGAATTTTTATAGAGCAAAAGCACGAGGTGAGGCGGGTTCCAGGTGGGGAAAAATGGGAAATCAGAAGGTAACGAGGTGGGACAAAACTGTGGCCAACCAATAAGATTATAATTGCTCAGGTAAAACTGATTAAATCAGGATCAAATGGGGAAGTGAGTCACTAGCAAGCAGGCAAGAATAGAAAACAGGGGCTTTCCCGGTCGGGGGTGGAGTCAGTTGCTCCTCCCGGCTCTGTCAAGGTGAGGATGCCTATTTAGAATATGAGGCACTGTTTATCCTCAGGGAAGTACGTGGGCACATTTGTTTCAACTTTTGTCTTGAGGTCTGGCCCTCAGCTGGCGCTGTCTGTCTCCCCACAGTTGCAAGGTATGTGTCTTCTGCTCTGGCTCCTCCAAGGGCCCAGCCCTGTCTGACTGCCTGTAATATTTCTACCTAACTTAGCTGTCTGTCTATAACGTTCCCCTCTCTGAAGAAGTTCCCCGAACTGCCCTGAGGGAGCAATGGGTGACAATCTGGCTGACAAAGCCATTCTTAACCAAGCAGGTGAGAGATGTCCTTTCAAACCACTAAACCACTGAAAGTAGGTCGGAACTACCACTCCTACCCAAGACTCCTACGCCAGACCACTCCTACCAAGACTCAGGACATGCGCACTGCGAGGGCAGCCCTTCCCATACCTGCAAAGCAGAGTTCATGAAGCAGGTATTCCCCAGGTTTCCAAGTCCACACAGCCCAGGCTGGATATGAGGAGATGGAGGCTCCTGGCCATTATACGAAGCGGAGAAGCCAGATCCACTGGAAAATACAACTCGCATCAGCAAAAAAGCAAGTGCTGCACACACGTGCTCAGACACTTTTGGGGGGCTCTGCTGGGGCCTCTAGAACTCATGTCCAAGAGCAGCCCCCTAATGCAAGTTCTCTTCACCCCTCTGCAGCCCTCCAGACCTGTTCCGCCTTTTGATATGACACGGTAGCAGTTGTTAAACACATCCTTAAGGTGAGAAATATTATCTGAATTTTTCTCTTCTGGGCTTTGGTAAGCGCTAGTTTTGGTTTGGATTTCTTTCTCTTTTTTTTGGAACCAGGAATCGAACTCAGCACATCGCACTTGCCAGGCAGGCGCCATGCCGCTGAACTATATTCCCAGCCCCCAAGTGCTAGTTTTATAGCCTTCTAGAAAGCTGACTGCAGGTGACTTCAGGGGAGAACATTTAGGTTACTAAGATCAAGAGTTTGCATCTGGGCCAGGCGAGGTGGCACATTCCTGTAATCCCAGAACTCCAGTTGGGAGGCTGAGGCAGAAGAATCCTTGCGAATTCATATGTGAGTTCAAGGCCAGGCTGGGCTACAAAGTGAGCTCAAGGCCTGCCTGAACTGCACAGTGAGACCCGGTCTCAAAACAACGAAAATAATAAGAGTGTACATCTGGAACCACCCACAAGGCTACACCCTGCCTTGACCTGACCTGAGTGTGTAACATAGTCTCTCAACTCACACTAGCCTCCACCTGTCTGCACCATGGGGCAGGCACTCCTGAAACTCCTGGAGAAAGGGTCATGGCCACCCAGAAGGGAAACACAGAGCTAAGAGGTTTGCACAGCTAAGAACCCTCCCCATGCAGCTGCTCTGGCCTCCAGCCAGCCCATCCCTTCACAGACAACTGCAGTGACACCCCCAGCCCCAGCCCCGGAACACAGGCTGTGGGAAACACCAGCTCGCAGGACAAGCAGAATTAGGTTGGAACTGGCAGAGAAACCACATGCAGCACGCTCCCTCAGGGAGCTCCAATCCCATGATACTTAGCGAAGCGGATGAGCACTGCACACACAGCCTGGGAAAATGCCGAGGACAGGGAAGCAGAGTATGAGTGCCTCTTACCCCCTGCCGACACTGGAGCTGCGCACCCCAGAGGTGTTAGTGCTATCACCATTTGCAACGAGAGAGGCGGAAACTGAGGAACAGGGACTTGCTGATGATTTTGGAGAGGTAGTAAAATTTCTGCTAGGTGCAGAGCTTGATCTGGGAGAAAGAAGTAAAAACAATGCTACTGACTTTTTGCAAATGTAAGCCCTATTTAACGCCTTAAATCGCTTTTCAAAAAAACCCCCAATGTTCTCTAAGCTGGGCATGGTGGCACACACCACCACTAGGGAGGCTGAGGCAGGATCGTTTCAAGTTCGAGACCAGCCTGGGCTGCAAAGTGAGCTCAAGGCCAGCCTGAACTGCATAATGAGACCCTGTCTCAAAATTATCTGAGTGTCAAGACATTAATTAGTTTTAAACCAGGAGTGATGGTGCTCATCTGTGGTCCCAGCACTTGGGAGGCTGAGACAGGAGGATCACTGCAAGTTTTTTTTTTTTGTTTGTTTTTCTCCGGTACCGGGAACCGAACTCACAACCTTGTGCTTGCCAGGCAGGCGCTTTTGCCACTGAGCTAAATCCCCAGCCCTCACTGCAAGTTTAAGGTCAGCCTGGGCTACATAGCAAGACTCTATCTCAAAAAAAAAAAAAAAAAAAAATTAACTACTCTTCCTGTCTCATTAGTTCATAGGATCACACACTAAACGTTCCACTGTGACAAACCCCCACAAGATGGACCTCTGTGCTTTTATGTACAGTAAGCTTCTTTATATTTTAGGAATTACATACAAAAGGCATAGAAAAATGGCAATGAGATAACTTTCCCAAAAATACTTCACACAAATTAAATAGCTGGTTATAGAGACATCATGGTAGTCCACACCTGTCATCCCAGCACTCTGGAAAGCTGAGGCAGGAGGATCACTTCAAGGTCAAGCCCAGCCTAAGTTACATATCAGTAGTGAATTCAAGGTTAGCCTGAACTATAGCAAGATCCTGTCTTAAAAAGTTAAAAACAAGGGGGCTGGGAATTTAGCTCAGCAGCACACCGCCTGCCTGGCAAGCGCAAGATCGTGAATTCGATTCCTACACCAGAAAAAAACAAAAAAAAGAGGAAAAAAAAAGTTAAAAACAAGGCCAAGCATGGTGGCACATGCCTGTAATCCCAGCGCTCGGGAGGGTGAAGCCAGAGGATCCCCGGAGTTTGAGACCAGCCTGGGCTACAAAGTGAGCTCAAGGCCAGCCTGAGCTGCATAGTGAGACCCTGTCTCAAAAAAAAAAAAAAAAAAAAACACCAACCCTGCCACATCCAAAAGCCTAGGGCTCCCTCATTCTCTTTCCTGACTTTTATCTCATGCTTATAAAGCACTACACATTGGTGTTTTTCTTATTTATCTTACTGTCTGTTCCTTGAGAATACTGTACACACTTTGTGCTGCTCACTGCTACAATCTCACCACCTGCAACAGTATCTGAACTACACTGGGGAGCGAGGCTGGGATGTACTCCAGGAATTCCACTTTGCACTCACTCCCCACTTGACCAAGTGACTCTGACCTTCAAGGGTAGAGGCCCATAGTGAGGACTGCTCTTTTCCTAAATCTGTGTCTTTTAACTGAACCTCATGGGCCTCCAGGTGTGGAGGGACAGAAGCAACAAGGCTGGGAAGAGAGGAAGGCGCCATCGCAAGGGTTTCCCCTTGACCAGCACACCGAGCCCCCTTTTGCTTTGCGCTACCTCACAGGCTACAACCCAGTCTGTCACCCAGGCGGCTCTCAGTTTTGGGATTACTGTTCTGCAGGACTTCCAGTTCTAAGAGAAGAGCTGACTGCCTGGGTTTGCGCTAGTTTCCTATCACTGTCACAAACTCAGTGGGGTAAAACAGTAAATTTGCTATTGTGCAGTCCCGGAAGTCCGAAGTCCAGAATGCTCTCTGACTAAAGTCAAGGTGTTGGCCACACGGCTGGCCGCATCCCTCTCGGCCGCAGGGACCGCCACAGGCTGGCACGTTCACTTCCCTGCCTCACACGTCCGCACTCTGGTTCTGCTTCTCTCCTCACACCACCTCCGGCTTTCCAGCCTCCGTTTCACTCACAAGGACCAGGGTGACCACACTGGGCCACCTAGATCGGCTCTCCATCTCAAGATCATCAGCCTAATCACATCAGCGATGTCCCTTTGTAAGTCGCACGTTCACTGGCTCCGGAGATCAGGAGCGCGAATCTCTTGTGCAGACAGGAGGCACCATTCTGTCTACCACAGGGATTTCCATCATCTCGTCTGGAAACAGCATCTGTGGCTTCTCACAACCAGAGCCCAGTCTGAGCAAACACGGCTTCAAGGGGTCTGTGACACTCCTGAAAATGTTGCCCATCTTTTCTGTTTCTCAAGGGAGGTCTCAAAGTTACACACTCTGAAATGAGCTGCAAGGCTGGCCACTATGTAACCAAAGCAGAGAGCAGAGCTCACCACTCTCCCCATAAAGACTGAAGCACACAGGACTTCCCCATCTTTCACAAAGAGGAAATCTCAGCAGTTCTTTCTCTCCCCTTCCAAGGATATGCGTAACTCCACACATCACGTGAGCATCTGAAATACCTGTGGCCTGGAGTTCAACTTTAGTAGCTAAACAATTCCGAATCCAAGCTCCAAGGGCAACAATGAATAGCAGGCAACTGGGTGGAGTGGGGTTGAAGGAAACTACAGACCTCAGGCCTCAGCTGTCGTCCTCTTCCTGCAAAGCCTCTGACTGAAGTAAGGAAAGAGCAGCGTTTGACAGGACAGCCGCCTCTTGGCAGAGCAGCAGGGTCGGATCCCGGCCCCGCTCTTCCTCCTGCTCTCTCACACAGCCTTGCCGGATGCCCGACAGGTCCCCTTCCCACGACGGCCCCACATGCTGCTTACCAAGGCTGGGTCTTCACCCCGACTGCGTTCTGGGTATGAGACTGAGTTTTCTACCTGACTCACAACCATTTTTCTTAGTGCAATTAACCACCTCAGGAAACAGTGTCTCTATGAGACCTGGGAGCCCAGCCACACAGGAGAAAAGTTCACTTACTTTGACTGCAGGGTCTGCCTGGGCCATGTGCCATCTTCATTTTGGGGCTCAATTATTAGCACCTGAAAGGGGAAACCAAATGAGGAAGGTGCCACCCACCACACTCCTGCTGCGCTGCAGCCGGCGGTCTCTGGACACACGCGCTGCGCAGAGCGGCTTGCTTAGGGCTGGCCCGGGCCCTCCTACCTGGCCTTGGTACAGCCCAGCATCCTGGATAGTGTTGTCCAGCTTGCTCAACTGCTCGTAGGTATTGCTCATGTATTTATTCCAGAGCCGGGTTTCACGCTCTGCAGGGATGTTAAAAAGCTTCCGCATTTCCTTCTCGATGGTTGCTGGGAGAGGAAGACACAGCACTCAGGGATTTCTTGATACAAAGATGAAGACAGTGGAAGCAAACAAACACCTTCCTCGTCCCTTTCCAGATGCACTTTGAAATGAAAGGTCCCTCTGAAATGAAATCCCCTGCCTGGCACGTGCATGACTGAAAAGTCCCTCTGCTTCTCTGACGATGTCAGTCTTACAGCAGAGAGGCAACATGGAAAGCAAGAGAGGCTGGGGTGTAGCTCAGTGATGAGCACCTCCCCAAGTTTGGACGAAGCCCTGGGTTCAATCCTGGGCATGGTGAGAAAAAAAACCTGAGAAAATTTCTCTCTGGAGTTAAGACAGACGTGGCTTCATCATCATCATCTCCCCTCCCCAAAGAAATGGGGTCTTGCTTTGTAGCCCAGGCTGGCCTTAAACTAACTGCGATCCTCCTGCCTCAGCCTCCCAATGCTCAGACTACAGGCACATACCACCAAGTCCAGCTTAGGTGTGGCTTCTAAAACTAGCTGTAGCCAGTGATACAGCTCAGAAGCACAGTGCTTGCCTGGCAAGCACAAAGTCCAGAGTTCGATCCCTGGTACGCCACCGCACCACCCACCCACCCCCACTAAAAAAACCAGCTGTGAGGCTGGGCAGCATGGCGCACACCTACAATCCCAGCACTCTTGGAGGCTGAAGCAGGAGAATTGCTGTTTTGAGCCCAGTCTGAGCAACTTAGCAAGACCTCATCTGTGTCTTGCCCTCTATCACTCCTTCTCCCTTTACAGTACTGACCTACACGCCCAGACGTTTTTATTCTTAACTCTGAGACAGTGTGTGACTGAGTGCCCCAGACAGACCTCAAAACTTGTCCATTCATCTGCCTCAGCCTCACTGAATGCTAGGATTACAGGTGTGTGCCATCATTTCCAGCTATAGGCCTTGTTTTTAAAAAAAGCTTTTTCAAAGGGCTGGGATATAGCTTGATGAGAAAGGCCTGGATTCAGTCCTCAGTGTGCATGTGAGAGGGGGTCACTAACTGCCACTTTCCCGTTGAGATCGCTGTGGTGGCAGCTTTGGTGGTCTGTGCGCACGTGCGCCTGTGTGCGTGTGCTGGGGATGGAACCCCGGGCACTGCACACACCACTGCTACGAAGCAACACCTCCAGTCTCTTGCTAGAATTTTTTAGTAACTTACTTTTTAACTTCTGACTCTGCTTTTCTTCCTATTCCCGTGGGACAAATGGGCAAGGACCACACGCAGTGTCCTATAGAACAAGATTCCTGGGCATGTCTTGCCACCAGAATCTCCTGGAGAAGGGGCTCTGGGTCCACATGATCCGGGTAAAAAGCCTGCAGAGCGTGCACGCTTGCCTGCCACCAGCCACGCTGGCCTGCAGTCTCTCACAACACACCAGGCCCCGCCTACGTGCTCACCAATGGTGTCTGCCTTGCTGAAATGGCAACTCAGCACATTGGTGGGGTCACTGTTCTCACAGAGCTTCAGTTCCAGCAAGTACACCTCTACTTTGCAGTGCTTGACAAACAGGCCATGCTCCACAACCTGTAAAGGAGAGACAGGGTGAAGGAGCAGCGCTTCCACACCCAGGCAGTCTTAGAGGCAACACCTCTCAGTAACTAAGAACAGCAGAAACCTCATTATCATCAGTTTCCTTCAGTCACCAAGGGATGAGAAGTACAGATTTTTATTTATTTATTTATTTTTTTTTGAGACAGGGTCTCACTATGCAGTTCAGGCTGGCCTTGGGCTCACTTTGTAGCCCAGGCTGGTCTCAAACTTGCAACAGTCCTGCCTCAGCCTCCCGAGTGCTGGGATTACAGGCATGCGCCACCATGCCCGGCCAGGTTTTTTCTTTTAAAGTACAGATTTTTTTAAAGCAATCAGCATCTCTTCCAGGAAATTAAAAATCTTTTTTCCCGTGGCACACCTGTAATTCCAGCACTCAAAAAGCTGAGGCAGGGCTGGGGAGATAGCTCAGCGGCATAAGAGCCTGCCTGGCAAGTGCAAGGTCCTGAGTTCGATTCCCAGTACAAAAAAAGAAAAAAAAAAAAGCAGCAGCAGCAGCTGAGGCAGGAGGATTTCCAAGAGTCTGAGACCAGCCTGGCCTACTTAGTGAGTTCAACGCCAGTCTAAACTACATATGAGACTCTGTCTCAAAAAAAAAACAAGCCAGGCATGGTGGCGAATGCCTGTAATCCTAGCACTCGGGAGGCTGAGGCAGGAGGATCATTGCGAGTTCAAGACCAGCCTGGGCTACAAAGTGAGCTCAAGGCCAGCCTGAACTGCATAGTGAGTCCCTGTTTCAAAAAACAAACAAACAAAAAAGACCTAAAAAAAAAAAAAGAAACAAAAACTTTTTTTCACTTATTAGGACCTACCAAAAGCACCTGATGGGACCACAGAAAAAAGCTTGCGCCTCAAACTTGGCAAAGGTAAGCTTCCACACCTTCTCCTAAAGTTTATACCTGAGTATACGAAAGAATTGCTGGGCTGGTGGTATAGCTCAGTGGTAGAGCATTTGCCTGACATGTGTAAGGCCCCAGGTTCAATCCCCAGCACTGGGGGAGGGGGGACCACACACGCTATAACTCATTAATTCAGAGCCACGCTTGCCCATAAAGCCAGATACTGCCCAGAAGGAAAGTTACTGTTCACCTCTAACACAAGACCATAATCTCTACCTTGAAGGAGCTGTCTAATCACAGGACTGAGAATATAGGCCAGGCATGGTGGCACACACCTGTAATCCCAGCACTTGGAAGGCTGAGGCAGGAGGATCACTGTGAATTCAAGGCCAGCCTGAACTGTGTAGTGAGACCTTGTCTCAAAAAGACAAAAGAAAAGAGAGAAAGAGAAAACAGGCATAGCCCTTGGCAATGAGCTCATATGGCAGCGCCCTAGATGTGGGAGGACATATGTAGAAGGTTAACCAACCCCCAGCTTTTTGATCCCTAAGCATTTGGGGTTCAAGCTAGAGAAAAAGTTCTGACTTGAATAATGACTCACAGAAACCTGGTCTTAGGACTGCAGTACTCTCTTCCTCCGCTAAAATGGAGAACATATACCAGCAGAGTGAGAAATTTACCGAGGGTCACAATATCAGCAGGCGTGTGGGCTCTTGTGATTCTGGCGAGACAAGCATACAACTGTGGGAGACAAGGTAGTGGTCTTCTCATGCGTCCTGACTACCAGAGCTACTAACAATCTGGCCCAGAGCCTACCTTCCCAAAGGTTTTGTAAAAGACTCAGCCATGTGACTAGACTCTTAAACTGAGGTGAGGAAGTGTCAGAAAGGTGCTGACGGTGATCATGGTGGTGTCTGCAGTGTTAGCAGTTCAGTCCAGGGGCTCACATGTGCTAGGCAAGCTCTCCACCACTGAGCTCCATCCCAAGCCCTAGAAATATTTTAAAATAAATGAGAACAGAGTTCGGGGCAGTGGCCCACACCTATAACCCCAGATACTGAGAAAAGCCTGCAGCAAGTTTGGGGCCAGCCTGGGCAACTCAGTAAGACTGCCTCAAAATAAAAAGGTTGGGGAGGTAGTTCAGTGCCCCCTGGCTTCAAGTCCAAGTATTGGGAGGCCAATGATGGGGACGGGGTGGGGTTAAACTAAGTTGTTGGGGTTAAAAAGAAGTACGTAACTGTATGTCCATGTGGTCCTCAGAGCCGTTGAGAAAGCGCTCCCACACTGCTGGGCGCATCCCCAACTAGTGGGCCATGTCGGTGCCCCTCATTCTAACACGATCGGTGAGCAGCCTCACTCACCGCCATGTACAACCTAAATCCCTTAAGAGAGCCACAAACAAAGGCTCAGTCAGTCACCTCCACGCCACCTCATGAACATACTCGTTTTCCTAGGAAACCAACACAAGCCAAGTGTCCCCCAGGGAGCACATGCAAGGACTGACCAGCAAACGTGGCCATCCACATACTCACTTTCCTGACAATGGGCTGCTGGCCTTCTACACAGCCGTACCAATTCAGTAATTTGTTCCAGGCCTCAGTTGGGACTAATACATAGTCCAGCTCGTCAATTAAGTGTTCTTTCAGGGTCTGACTCTCAGGATCTGGAAAAAGAAAACAGCATGTAATTCACTGCTCTTCCAGAAATGCTCGTTTCACACACTTTTCATCAACAACAAAAGAGAAAAAAGTACAAACCTCAAAATTCTGTAAACTGACAGAACAGAGCAGACTGCTGACTGGTATTTGACCTTAGCCATGTTTTCTGACCATTTTATGAGGAACTCCTATCTTCTAACGATTAGCAAGAGGGGCCAGGGATAAGCTAAGCAGCACAAGCGCCTGTCTGGCAAACGCAAGGTCCTGAGTTCGATTCCCAGTACCAAAAAAAATAATAATAATTAGTGAGGAAAGGAAGTCAGGTGTGGTGGTACAAGACTGTAACCCTAGGGGCTGGGGATTTAGCTCATCGGCAAAGCGCCTGCCTGGCAAGCGCAAGGTCGTGAGTTCAGTTCCCGGTACCGGAGGAAAAAAAAAAAAGACTGTAATCCCACTCAGCCAAGAAGCTGAGGGGAGGGAGGAAAGTTTGAGCCCAGCCTTGACAGTTTAGGGACGAAGAGATACTATGTCTTGAAAGTAAAAACAGAGGCTGGAGATTTAGCTCAGCCGCAAAGCGCCTACCTGGCAATGACTGGCAAGCACAAGGTCGTGAGTTTGATTCCTGGTACAGGAAGAAAAACAAAAAAAAACAAAAAAAAAAGAACAACAACTGAAAAAGAAAGTAAAAGCAAAAATACAAGGCCGGGAACTTGGCACCCCGGGCCTTCACACTGAGCTCCATCTCTAGCCTTTATTTTCATTTTGAGACAAGGTCTCCCTAAGTCACTAAATGGGCCAGGCTGGGCCCAAACTTTTGATCCTCCTGTGTTAGCCTCCCAAAGTGCTAGGATTTCAGGCATGAGTGCCATCGTTCCAATTATGTCACTCAAGTGCTTTCAGACTCCACAATTAAAATGGTTAATTAATGTAAGTTATACTCCTCCCCCCCAAAAAAATCTACTATGAAAGCAAATAAATGAGGCACTGAAAGCTGGGGGTGTACCTTTAGTGGGAGGGCACATGAGCAGCATGAGCACCAGGCCCTGGGCTCACTCTCCAGCACTAACAAACGTAAAGAATGTGAAATGATGCTTTTTTTTTTTTTTGTACCGGGACTCAAAACTCAGGACCTTGAGTTTGCCAAGCAGGCACCACACTGCTGAGATATACAGCCCCAGCCCTACGACTCATCATAAACTTAATTAACCTCAATGCCCCACTTGTTTTCGTTTGCGTGGCTTTTGTTTCTGTTTTGGGTGCTGGGCATCAAACCCAGGACCATCTGCACGCTACGCAAGCACTCTACCACTGAGCTATACCCCAGCCCCTCATTTAGCATTATTTGTATTTTTTATTCATTTATGTTTTTGCAGTCCAGGGATCAAACTAGGGTTTCCTGCGTGCCACACAAGCACCCTACCACTGTGCTACGCCCAAACCCTCAGCACTGTTAAACTTTTTTTTCTTTTGTCTTTTTGAGCCAGGGTCTCACTATGTAGTTCAGGCTGGCCTTGTGCTCACTTGGTAGTCCAGGCTCATCTCAAACTCACAAGGATCCTCCTGTCTCAGCCTCCCTAGTGCTGGGATTACAGGCATGCGCCACCATGCCCAGCAACACTGTTAATTTTAAATATTCCAAATCAGAGCTCCACAGGTCCCATGCAGACAGAATGTGCTTAATATGCCAGCTTTCAGCAGGGCATGGTGGCACACGCCTGTAATCCCAGCAGCCTGTTATCCCAGCACTCAGGAAGCTGAGGCAGGAGGATCACTGCGAATTCAAGGCCAACTTGGGCTACAAAGTGAGCTCAAGACCAGCCTGAACTGCATAGCCAGACCCTGTCTCAAAAAAAGACACAAAAAAAGCCAGCTTTCATTCCATACTCACCTAAAAAGGCAACACTCCTAGGTCTGAATTGGACATTCATGGTCTGAAATACACTCTCTTAAAAATAAAGGGCCCAAGGGTTTGGGGATTTAGCTCAGCAGTACAGCGCCTGCCTGGCAAGCGCAAGGTCATGAGTTCAAGTCCTGGTACCAAAAAAATAAGTAAGTTTGGGGCTGGGGATCTAGCTCAGAGGCACAGAGCCTGCCTGGCAAGTACAAGGTTGTGAGTTCGATTCCCGGTACCCCCCCAAAAAAATAAAAATAAAAATAAAGGGCTGAGGATGCAGCTCAGTGTCTTAGCTCTAAGTTCAATCTCCATTACTACACACACAGAGACAAAAAAATAAGGAGGAAAATTCTGACACATTCTACATATGGATAAGTGTTGTGAACATTACACAAAGTAAAATAAACAAGTCCCAAAAACACAAATGCTGCCAGGTATGTGAGGTATGCCTATAGTCCCAGCACTTGGCCAGGAATGGTGGTGCACACCTGTAACCCTAGCACTCAGAAGGCTGAGGCAGGATAGCTGCAAGTTCAAAGCCATCCTGAACTGCATGGCAGAACCCTGTCTCAAAAACACCAAAAAGAAAAATAATAAATTTTAAAATCCCACCTCTTAGGAAGCTGAGGCAGGACTGCCAGGAATTTGGGGCTAGCCTGGGCTACACAGTGAGTTCAAGGCCAGCCTGAACTATACAGTAAGACAAAAGGAAGGGACAAGAAAGAAGCCAGGAGTGGTGGCACATGCCTATAATACCAGAACTTGGGAGGCTGAGGCAGGAGAATCGTTGCAAATTCGAGACCAGCCTGGGCTACAAAGTGAGCTCAAGGCCAGCCTGAACTGCATAGCGAGACCCTGTCTCAAAAAGATGGGGAAAAAAAAAAAAGGAAGAAAGAGAGCGAGAAATGAAGAAAGAGAAGGAAGGAAGGGAAGGAGGGGGAAGGGAGGACGGAGGAAGTGAGGGAGCATTTTAAGTTCCTAAGGATTTCTAAAGACTACTGTTACACATGCAAGGCAAGGCTACTTGTTTCTATCTCCTCATACCAGGAAAGGCAGGTTCACAATGTCCATGTCACAGATATGTGACACCCCAGCTGGGTGTGGTGGCACATGCCTATAACCCCTGCACTCAGGAGAATGAGTCAGGAGGATTACTGGGTTCTAGGACAGGCTCCTATATTGCAAGACCCTGTTTCAAGGGGAGAAAAAAAGGCAACCCAGGCCACTGTCCAGGTGATCACTTAGCTAGAAAAGCATACTATACCTGCAAAGAGTCCAGAGTTGTCTATTGGTCCAGGAAATAGGTTATGTTCACCCACATTATACATATCCCAGCTATCAAAGCCCACGTACTTCTTCCATTGCTTGAACCATCGGCTGTCAATAAGATACCTAGAAAGAGACAATTTACTATAGCAAAAGGGATTATGTCACTAGGTGCAGTGGTGCACCCCCTTAATCCCAGCACTCATGAGGCTGAGGCAGGAGGATCTGTGAGAATTCGAGACCAGCCTGGGCTACAAAGTGAGCTCAACGCCAGCCTGAACTACAGAGCGAGACCCTGTCTTAAAAAGACCAAAAAAAAGACAAAAAAACAAAATAAAACAAAGACTGTATCACAAGTTTCTGAAGCTCCTCCTTAACTTTTCTGGTTTCTTTTTTGTTTGGTTTATGTTTTAGTGCCGGGAATTGGAACTTGGGACAACTGACTTAGAAGGCAAGCACTCTACCACTGAACTACATGCCCAACAACCTTAATCTTTGTTACGATTTTTTGACCAAGAGAATGTGTAACCCCTACCATAATACACACTCCCAAGCAAGAGCCAGCCCCACACAGCAGAGGGCTTGGCCTAAAGCCGGTATCCATTAAGTAGGACTGCTATAAGACTAAATAAATATTGAGCCAGGTATGGTGATGCATACCTGTAATCCTAGCTAGTACTTGGAAGGCTGAGGCAGGAGGAGTGCTTCAGGTTTGAGGCCAGCCTGGGATACATAGTGAATTCAAGGCCAACCTGAACTGCATAGCAAGACTCTGTCTCAAAAACCAAACCCTGGGTTGGATCTCCAGCACCACCACACCCAGCTATAGGTATTTGTCCGGGTCAACAGTTTAGTTACAAAAAAAAGAAAACAAACAGTTTAGTTACACTGCTTTGCTTAACATATATGGTACTGATTTTCCCTCTCAAAATTGACTAAATTTACCACCCAATTGAGTTACCCTTTAAGGACCATATAAGATAGTATCCCCAAATAACCTGGACATGGTGACACATGCCTGTAATGCCTATAGTCCTGGGCCAGGCATGGTGGCACACACCTGTAATACCCAGCACTCAGGCAGGAGAACTGCTTCGAGTTTGACTTCACCCTGGGCTACAAAGTGAGTTCCAGGCCAGCCCAAACTGCATAGTGAGACTCTGTCTCAAAAAGACAAAACACAGGGCTGCGGATCTGGTTCAGTGGTAGAGTTCTTTCCCTGCATGCAGAAGGCCCTGAGTTTGATCCCCAGCACCACATAAACACAATAAAAAGGACAAAAAAACAAAACAATGTCTGTAGGCCAGAGGCGGAAGCAGAAGGATCTCAGTGAATTCAGGGACACCCTGTTCTGATTGTGAGTAAGCAATCTTTCTGACTCTGCCTCTCAAGTGCTGGAATTACAGGCATTCACCCTTATGCACAGTTCATTTTTTTTTTTTTTTTTAATGTGTGTGTCTTCTTGAGATAGGGTTTCACTATGCAGTTCAAGCTGGCTTTGAACTCATTATGTACCCTGGCTGGCCTCGAACTCATGGCAGTCCTGCTGCCTCAGCCTCCCAAATGCTAGGATTACAGGCGTGAGCCACCATGCCCGGCTAAAGGGTTTTTGGGTTTTTTTTTTTATACGAGGAACTGAACTCAGGACCTTGCGCTTATCAAGCAGGCGCCTGCGCTGCTGAGCTATATCTCCGGCCCTCATTTTCAACTTATTGCTTTCTATACTTAAATATAAGCAAATCTAGTGGCCCAGCATGGCAGCGCACATCTGTAATCCCAACACTTAGAAGGCTGAGGCTGAGGCAGGAGGACTGCCATGAGTTCAAGGCCAGCCTGGGCTACACAGTGAGTTCAGGGCCAGCTTGAACAACAAGATAGGGCCAGCAAGAACCTATCTCAAAAAACAAACAAACAAAAAACACAAAAAAATAAGCAAATCGAATTATATTTTAAAACTATAATATAGCTACTTTATAGCTAAGACGGGCTGGGGATGTGGCTCAATAGTACAGCTCTTGCCTTGCATGCACAAGGCCCTGGGTTCAATTCCTCCGCACCACCACCACACACACACACACACACACACACACACAAAATTGCGCGAACTAAGACACGAGGAGAGGAAAAGAACTGTTAGACAACAAAACACAATTATATTGGTGAGTCCTTTAAATTTTTAAAGACATGTCAAAAGGTTCAGGCAGCTTCCCTGAAGCCAAAAGGATCCATTAATACATTCAAGTCTCTAAAACAGTTTTCCCTTCAAATTTCCTGACCAACAGCATTCACACACTTTGTGCGATTTTAATCTATCTTAAACTTCTCATGCTTTTACTTAGTATTCTTTATATATCACCCCTTTGCAGAATAGGTTCAGAAATACCTCTGCTTGCTTTTCACAGCTTTGCTACTCAATATAAACACCATAAACAAGAGCCAGGCATGGTGGTGCACGCCTGTAATCCCAGCGATGGGGAGGCTAAGCAAGGAGGATAGCCATTAGTTGAAGGCCCGCCTGAGCTACACATTGAGTTCAAAGCCAGCCTGAATTACAGTGAGACCCTGTCTAAAATAATTTTATAAATAAATAAATAAAAGGCTGGGGATGTAGCTCAGTGTAAAGACTATCAGCAGTTCAACCCCCATTACAAAAAAAAAAGTTTTAAGGCTTTTAAAAATACACACCACACACACACATACACTAAATGCACTACTTCTACCCACGCCTGTAATCCCAGCACTCGGGAGGCTGAGGCAGGAGGATCGTTGTGAGTTGGAGACCAGCCTGGGCTACAAAGTGAGCTCAAGGCCAGCCTGAACTGCATAGGGAGACCCTGTCTCGAAAAGACAAAAAAATAAAAATAAAAATAAATGCACGGCTTCTAATCTCATCTTTCTCTTCCGAGCTTAAACTCCTCTGTTAGTGGCTTCTTCAAGGCAGTGATGCTCAGTCATATCCAATGCACATACTAGCCCGTTTCCTACTCCCACACAGTAATACCACCCAGAAACCTCTCCACTACTACAGAGTACTATCTTTTCTATTATCTCTATTAGAAGGCTTCATACCTCGCCTTTGCTCTTCTAAAGCTGAACTTTTCGGGGGATGGGGATTTAGCTCAGGGGCACAGAGCCTGCCTGGCAAGCGCGAGGTCGTGACTTCGATTCCCGGTACCGGAAGAAAAACCAAAAAAAAAAAAAAATCTGAACTTTTAATTTTCTAACTTGCTCCAGACTCTAGGCTACCCTTCTTTCCCACTTCTACACGCTTGTCACAATGACTTTTTTTTTTTT